AAAGAAAATGGAAACTACTAGGGGTAGGGGTTGAGGGGTTCAGATTGGTAGTGGTAGGGGTAGGGGTGGTGATGCTATTGCTGCTTCGGCTGGTGGCCGCGGCGGTGGTATGAAATACAATAGCAGCTAGACTACGTGTTTAGCATGCGGCTGCATGAGCCGTCTGCATCTGGAGCTCTGGCAATGAGTCTACTCAACTCCTGCAGGCTCAACTCCATCATGCCAGCTACCAACTTCTTACCACCGTAGCATGGTTGCCTGCCAGGTCTGGAGGTGTAAATTGATTTTGGAACAAGGAAGCACCAAAGTATCCCATGCAGTCAGAACCTTACGGTGTGAAGAATGCAAAGTGACGCATGAAATTTTGAAAGCCGCATGTAATCCGCACAGTCCAATCAAGATAGCCTGTTCATTCATTCCAGAATCCATGCCTGCGGCAAGCCATCCGTGTCCAAGGCATCCCCGATCTTTGCGCGGACCTTTGCACGACAGGGACCTACAGCTGGGGCCACCAACTCTGGATGAAGGTTTCTGTCCCCAATACGAATGCATGTTGATATATGTTGTTACTGTACATCAGCCTTTGCCGAGGAATGACAGTCGCCCTCATTGTGAGGCCCGCGCTGAAAGCATAAGCCGCTCTACCCCACCCTTGTGCTTGTTGGCTGCGGCCTGCAGTCGCTCAAAATTTCGCAGGGCCAGCTGGTGCACTGCATGGCTCATCACCCAATCGCAAGAATCTTTCCTCAAGCCAGTGTTCAGCTTGTTGCACCTCCCGCCGCGATGGTGAGGCAGGTGGCGAGTCACCACCGTAACCGAGCGACATGGCCTGACAGCTTACTCTTCTGGAGTAGCTAGGCATAGCCATAACATGCCCACCTGAACCCTGAACACTATGAAGTGCCCACCAGGAGAGTGGTATACAGCACTTACACCATCAACATGTGCAGATTTGTCTTGAACAGTCCAGTGCACCTTGGCCGGCCCTAAATGGCCCACAGATATGCCAGGGACAGAAGAACAGAGCCGAAATCTTGCAGCGGCTTTTGCTGATCCTTATCTTCCATTATCCCTATATAACCCCAGTATACTATAGTAGTTTCCATTTATTTTCCATTATCCCTAAGGTCTGCATAAAATCATATCATCAACGCTTTGGTGTTTGAAGGCTGCTTGGCCTGGCGCTAATTTGGGTTATATACAGGGATTCTATAGGGGTTATATAGGGGATAATGGAAAAGATTCTTCTGCTGCTCTTGTTGCTGTTAGTACATGCGATTCTTGAAAATATGGCAGGGACTCCATTTGATGGTTTTCCCTTTGCCATTTCCTGTACTACATTCCGGTTGGTGAACTTCCAAATGTCATGGGCGTCATTCTATATAAGGGGAATGGCATTCCTCATGATGCAGTTCCACTCCTAGTAATGAACCAGTAGATGGTGAGTTGGAAGTATCATGCGCCTTGCTTCGTTGGGCTCCTAGCACAAATGTCATGCGTGTACGTACTCTTTGCGCCCCTAAGTTTGGAGAGTACGGTATACGCTTGCCATCACTGAAGTCACATGAGCCATAGTCTAAACTCCTAGAATCCCCCTTATAATCCCTATATCACTCACCCTACATAACCCGCCTTTACGGAGTTTAGACTCTTGCTCACACGAGTTCTGGAAGACCATGACTTGGGCCTGGCAGATACCTCTACTCCATACTCACATCCCCAATAAACCCAATATTCCGCACCGCTCCAGGGTTTAGGGTTTAGGTACGGCGGCAACCCAACAGGTCGGCTTGGGCCCTTGCCGATTGCCACAGCGAAGTTCAATTACTTCGCTAGCATCTGCACCTTGGTTGGGCACTTCAGAAAGGTGCTTCCTTTTCTTAGGGTGCAGCTTAGTTGTTCTTCACGAGCAACTGAACGCTTGCAACCTGTCACTGTGTGAGCAACTTTCGAGTTGTGGCTGTAGCCACACGGTCCTTTTTTCTCAGAGCTCGCGCGTCGTGGAGCTGAAGTACACGGCACATGACAGCTTGTGAGTGGAATTTTGGCAGATACAGGGTTGCTGCATCATTGAATCTCCATCAGGGGAATGGCGAAGCTTGGGAATCTGTTTTGGTTGTGGCGCTGTGGGGCCAACTCGTGTCTGGATTGGCTAACTGAGTCCCTGAAGACTCTCAGAAGCGGCCGGGGTTCAGCTTTCGAGCGTTACCTTAATTACAGTTTCACAGCAAACCGGTAAAGCTGACAAGAAGCATGGGAGCTCCATACGTGAGGATCCAAACTTCAGGTGCCAACATGACCGTCTGCAGCATTTGGACATGGGTTGGGGTCAATATTCGGCTTCTGCACTGAATGAAGGACACCGCATTGAAGCAAGCATTCGATCAGCTTGACCTCTTGACAAGAGTTACTGACGCGTCTGGCCATGGCTTCAAGCAGAGGTACCCCTGAATAGGATCTTCAGCTTTGAGCCATCCTACTTTGACTGCAGCCTACGCATTGCGTATCAATCCCCACGCAAGGAATCAAGAGCTCCTGTCTAATCGGGTCGGGGACTGTCTGGGCCCAGTTGCAATCAAATACCGCTATGCAAGGGCTAAGGAATTCCAGGGTAGGTACAAGGACTACACAGGGAAGCGATTGAAGTCGCTAAATTGTTCCAAGGAGCGGTTGTTCGTCTTACTTCTCTGGAAGTGCACTGGCAAGCCCTTCTGCATGCGAACGCCCCGCCTTTTAAGTCAGAATTTGGAGAATGTGCGCACTCCACGTAACTTTCTATGCTGCTTCTTCACTTTGGAATACATTCTTGATCTAAGGCTTCACCAGACTTCAAGCAGGATGTGCTAACTCGGGTGATGCGTTTTGCAAAATTTACGTCACCAGTTACCCTGCAGGCAAATCCGCTACTGTCAACAGCAGAATTCAGACCATGAAACTTGATCTGAAGTTTTGCTTGCAGAAGTCTGTCCTGCTCTCTCTCTCTCTCTACGTATACTGCCAGGCCTGTGCTTGATGGCCAGCAAAGCCTTGCAATTTGCCTGGGGCGCTCGCACAAGTCAAGGTACACCCCCATACAGCTTGCTGAAGAGAAGAAATGTACGCATTTAGCACGGCAATGAAATCTGATCCCAAACGGCTTCTAGCAGTGTGCCTAATCAGGCGAAGCTCTTGGGGAAAAATGCTTACCTCGCTCTCATTCTGCTGAAGTATCTGCATGCAAGCTGCATGGCGAATGCTGGATATATAAGCAAGAATACCAAGGAAGATTGCTCCCAAAGAATCAACCCCCACAAGTGAGTGTCATCGGTTGAAAAATGGGCAAAGAGCAATGATCACGCTGTAAGGACTTGCCCGTATGGCTGCTAGAGGAAATTGGAGCACACTACTTCTGCAATCTCGACATGATTGCTTCGTCATGCTCCCGGTGCGTTTAGCAGGACGTCTCGCCTTGTACATACGGCGAAGAGGGTTCTCTAGCACGTAGTTGCCCATCTCTTCGGCGAGGCGGAATTCCTGCGCTCGTTGAAAGCATTGGTGGGCTTCACCAAATTCGAAGACAAGCCGTCTTCAGGTTTGGAAGCCAGAATCCAAAGAGAGCCACGGAAAATGAACATTTTGAGGGCTTTCCCCAAAGGGATGGACAACACACCTGTTTCTTCTACTTGGCTTTAGGGAACCAATGCTCTAGTTGTCCGAGCAAACACCCTCACTCTTCTAGAGCTGGTGCGCCTCCTCTTCGGAAAGCTGAGAGACAATCCTGAGGATTTGCATGACATGAAGCTGCTGGGCTTGAATGCGCTGGAGGAACTAGCTTCAACTTTATTTATCAACTACGATGCTTTCTCGAACATGTTGGTAGCTTCTATTACTATTACTATTACTAGTACTATTACTATTACTACTGTTCTTATGACTATTAATATTACTAACATCCCCTCATCTCCAGAAGACTTCAACATGCTCACGGCGCAGGCTGCCAGGGGCTGATGAAGCCATGGTGCTTGTATGGATTGATGTCGCAGTCAATGCAAACTTTGAAGGCCTCAGAGATGCGTCAAGTTTGTGTCGAACCAAAGATCTTAACGCCATGGTGTCTGTATTGCTGGGGTTCCTTCAGGGAAGGTCTTCTTGATTTGAGATATACATATCTCTTCGCTGTTACTTCGCTTCCCGGTGCTTCCTTCCTGCGGCCCACCTGTCCATATTGGTCCATTACGGCCAAGCTTGGCGCTTTGCTATGGGTGTTTCAACAGGTTCCTGCTTTTGGCCACAGAGAAAGAGAGAGAGAGAGAGAGAGAGGGGGCGAGAGAGAGAGAGAGAGAGATAAATGAAAAAACATGTGTATATAAATTCAATATATATATATATACATGTGCAGACACCACCATACTGAACGTAGCAGGGGTTACCAGGCTTCTTTTCAATAAGCTCCCGTATGCATGCACATCTTGACTCTGGTAGCCTCTTCTTCCATTCGCAGCTGCGTGCGGCTGAGGTGCTGTTGTCTTTCCAAGGCCAAAGATACTGCAAATGAGCGCATAGGCTAGCTGCTTGTTACCTTAGCCACGACAAGAATACGCGCAACATTTATGTGAAAGTGTCTACAAATTGCAGGTCACTTCTTGGGGGCAAGATATTTTGGGGGTAAAGCACTTCTGTCGCTTCCAGAAATACCTATTTGATTGTCCGCGGACTGCCGCAATGGAATCATTTGGCCAGGCTGCGCGGAATGTCCTGAAGACAGGTTACATCTCTACGTGCAGTTCCTCTTCTACTGCCTGAAGCCGCGATGACAATGAGCCAAGCAATCATCAAAATCGAAATGATCAGGAAAATGCAAAGCGCAGTTCTACTAGGGGGCAAACGTAGAGATCAGTACTATCATCTGCATTTCGGAAAAGGGCTCAGCAATCAAGCGATTGACACCTATCCCTCAAAGGCGACCGCAAACCCAAAAACTTAACACCCTAAAAATTCAGCTGCCTACAGCGCTAAACCTACACCTTCCTAAATCCTTTAAAGCCGGAACCTGCATCCTTGTCACATCACCGCTGGGCTCTGACGTACACTAGAACCCTCAAGGGCTGTCCTGCCCTGCCAGACGGAGCTGCCTCGCCACCAGGGAGCGCCGCACGAGCGCGGAGCCCAAGGCCACAGCGGCGAGGCCCGCGCCCAGGCCGGCAAATGGGGCACTTTTCTGAGGCAGAGGGCTTGTGCATAGATGCTCCAGGGTTTCAATGGGACATTTCATAGATAGAATAGCACGGAGGGATTATGTATTGTTGCATCCTGCTCCAAGCAGTCTTTGCAGTCTGGGAATGCTGTAGCCTCTTGACGGCACCTGGGAACACCTCCACGAAGATGTTTTGAAAGAGCGCGGGTCTGCTGAATCTCTAACTTACACGCCCTAATCGTCCTTGCCATCAAAACCGTGTACGCTGAACCCAGTGTGGCCCAATGAAAAACGCAGGGTTTCATGTAGAAATGTGCGTTTTCAAAGCTATCACTGACCAGCAGAAAGTGCTGTGACTGTGATTCAAGGTGTTGTTCCCTATCCCAAGCTGGCGATGAGTAGAACAGTACCACAATCGCACTATAGTCGACATGTTCTGAAACCTCGGCAGGCAGGATTCTTTCTTGTTGCGGAAGCCTGCAAGGGGGGCTGGGGGCCTATACGGCCACGGCCACCTGGCGCACCCTGAAGGGCCTCATCGCCGCCCGCAGCGGCGACTCGCCATCAGCTGAGACTGACCGTTTCCTTCACTGCCTCGCCATCCTGCTCCAGCGCGAGAACGCCTGGGCTCCGCCGACTTGCTGCCGGGCCTGATGCGGCCCCTCCATTCACAGAGCCGTGAGTGAGCTGGTTCCCGCCTTCTGCCTTCTCCACCCCCCGGCCAATTCTGCGTGACTTCTGCGTGGTTGCCCCCGCGCCTCCGCCCCCCTCGTGCCTTTCCAACCTTTTCTGAGTAGCGTGCAGTTCCAAGGAAAGAAGTCCCTCCCTTGAAGAGCATAGCCGCAGTTCCCAGACGCCTCTGGGAGAGCAGGTGACCCTTAGCTAGCGCTTGACTAGATTTAGTTCCCGGCAGCAGTCTCACCGCAGCTCCCTCGGACTACTTCTTTGCTGAGGATGAGAATCTGCCCACCCGAAACATGCTGATGCTTACTTATGATGCTTGTGGTTGTAGTAGGTAGCAGTAGGAGGGAGGACGAGGAGGCGGCAGCCAAGGTGCTTCTGAAGCTTGTTGCGGATTTGCAGGGGTAGGGCAGGCCTGGTGGGCTTTAGAGGATAAGTGGAAGCGCAGCACGCAGGGTGCTTGACCGTACAGACAGCTTCTGCCAGCGTAGACGCCTCATCGGGCTAAAGGTATGAAGTAATCGGTTGCTTCTTCCGGCCATAACAGCGAAGAGGGGCAGGATCGCTGCTGCATGGTAGCGGCTCGCCATCAGGAATCCACCCCTAAGCAAGTGCCAAAAGATTCGAGTGGGCATACCCAGTGCCTGAAGCATCGGAAGGAGGATTTGTGCATATGCAGCAAGCCGCTCCTCGGAGAGGTTACCACGGAGTGGCTCCGTCGCGCGCTTTGAACAATCCCAGGTGCAGACGAAAATCATCTGCTCCAAACATAGAGGAACTGATGGGATGGTGTACCGTTTACCCGCACGCGGTCAATGACGCTGTTGAAATCAGACTTTGCAACATGTTGAGCACGAGTGCTCATGATTCCGCCTTTGAATCATTATGCTGCAGCGTGTGGGAAAGTGATGAATTACCCTAGACAAATCGAAGCCGGAGTAGTTGGCCCGTACGCTTTTGTGACTGTTTTGCTGTAAAAGCCATCCCTGCACGTGCCTTTTCACGATAGCGACGGCTGTGGGCACTCCATGTGTGAGTAGCAGAGTAGTAGTCGTGGTGGTAACGCTGGTGGTCTTAGTACCAGCAGATTGAAACCCAAGCAGAAGTGAGCCAGATTATAAACTAATTACAGTATCAATCAGAGCACAGCTCGCTCTAATCGCTGCCTCG